TGCTGAACAGAGAAAACGGCGCTGGAATAGAGAGTATCAGTGGGCGAGTAGAGCTATTCGATTAAGACTTGGTCACTAGTGGATGCCAACAGTGTCACAGAATAAGTCACCGAACCAGCTGAGTAGTGATGCAAACGATCCAAGTGAATAACGTTTGGAAATAAGTGGTGGCTCCAAGCAAGCTACAGATTTGCACAGAGATGCATGAAGACAACAAACGACTAACTGCTGCCAAGAAGGGTTGACGAGAGTAAGGCAAACGACGGATAACGGCGGTAGGAGAGAGAGAGAGAGAGCAGTGGATCCTACGGTGGCACAGAACAGGTCAACAAACCAGGCAATGCACCAGGCAAACAGTATGTGAAGCAGCTAGTGTTAGTCCAACTGAACCCAATTGTTCAAGCCTCGGGAAAATTGTATCCGTGAAAGATAACGGTTCCTTTACTGGTTAGTACGTTGTAAATGCAACTGATAATATTGCACTCACATCCAGATAAGGGAACTTTGTGCCTCCTATTATATTATTGGCGCAACGATGGCTGTATATACCGCTCATCCGGGGCCAGCTTCAGTGATGAGAACCAGTTGATTGACATCTTCAATTACATATCGGAACTTGGTTCCTTCGATAAAGTTGTAGGTGGAGATTTCAATCTACCAGATATCTGTTGGTCAAACTTAGTAACAAACGCGAAACATGCAGAGTTCATAACCTCCGTCATCACTGGTGGTTGGGAGCAACATGTTCTCGTGGCTACCAGGGGAAAAATATATTAGACCTACTTTTACCTCAGGCACCTCGCAGATAGCTACTGATGTAATTGACGGTCTCCCTGGATGTGATCACAAAATAGTCAGATGTAAACTTATAGCTGAGTCGTCGCATGTGAGGTTTGCGATGGTTCCACACTTCGTGCGAAATATTAATTGGGTAGGTTTCTCAGCTTTGCTTAGGGTCCAAAATTGGGACCATTTCTTTCTTTCGTCTGATATTAAGAGAGCCTCCGATACCTTCTATGACAATGTGGCTATGTGCTTAAGCATACTTGCCTCCTGTGATAATACGAGAGTCTCTTCTAAATACGCCAACAACGCAAAGGACAAGCGGAAAATTCGAGTGCTAACTCGAACATTTGAACGTACTCATGACTTTAGTGTATTACTGAGACTCCAACGCCTTATAATTGAGATGGACATGAAACATCGAACTCGTCTCATGCAGGAAGAACGACGGGCTGTAAATAGTAGTAATACAAGTCAACTGGTGACTGCATTACTGAGGAAAAGGAGAGGTGGCAAAACTGACCTACCCTCCCACATCGTCATGCCTGAAGGTGATTGCATTGATTCCCCGATTGCCATGGCGGAAGCCTTTAACTCATACTTTGCTAGATCCTTTAATGTTGAAAAAGAAACCCTGGATTTGTCAACTTCATTTCACTTCTCTGAACAAGTCCCAGCGATCGAGCTAAGTGTTGCTACGATAAAACGTATGATTACTTGTCTACGACCATCCTACAGACCTGGCCCCGACGGGATCTCTTCTGCTTTAATCAAACACGGTGGAGATGATATCCCTCTTATAGTATTAAATATCTTCTCTTTGTCTCTCCAGTCTGGTCAATACCCCGAATGTTGGAAAACGGCTACGGTTATACCGCGACATAAGTCCGGGTCGAAAACTGACATCCGGAACTACCGCCCCATTAGTCACACAGCCATTCTCTCACGCATGTTAGAGAGAATTGTTAAGGAACATTTGGTTTCGTTCCTAATATCGCACAAACTTCTCTCACCTTCACAGCATGGCTTTCTGAAGTCTCGCTCGTGTGTTACCTGTCAAGTTGACTTCCTTAACCATCTAACTGAAGCAATTGACTCAGGTCTTTAGTGCATTATTATCTTCCTCGACATGCAAAAGGCTTTTAACAGAGTCCCACACAAAAAGCTGTTATGTAAATTAAGTAAGTACGGTGTCACAAACCCGCTTAACTCTTGGATCCAATCTTACCTTGTAGGACGGTCGCAAGTTGTGGATATCAATGGTTACATCTCTTCACCTCGTCCGGGTCACATTTCTCGTCAACCTTTACCACGTTGCTTAAGGATTTAGTCTGTCGCCACGTTCAGACGACGGCGTATCATCCGGCCGCTAACGGCATGGTTGATCGTTTTCACCGCGAGTTGAAGGCAGCGCTACGTGCGCACGCAGATCTTTCATAGTCTGAAACACTTCCCCTCGTCCTCCTAGGATTAAGAAACACGGTTAAAACCGATTTCGACGCCACACAAGCGCAGCTAGTCTACGGTTGCACGCTGCGGTTGCCCGGACAGCTGGTAGCAGCGGCTCCATGTACCTCCACTTCTGACTACGAAAGTTACACCGATCGATTAGCTCACCAGATGCGTGAGCTACGTCCACCCGCTCCTCGATCGCAGAAGACACCAGTGTACGTGCCCGAGAAGCTGTCTATGTGTTCATACGTCCTTCTTCGCGCAGACGGTGTTCGACAGCCTCTTCAGTCGCCGTACATAGGACCTTTCAAGGTGCTACATCGTGCGAGTAAGGCGTACACTATTGACCGTGGTGGTCGACGCGAAATCGTCATCATCGGCCGTCTAAAACCCGCCTTAATGGAAGAAAGCATCTCGCCTACTTCGTCTAGTGGTATTTCGTGCGACGTCACAACTCATCGCACCACCTCACAGCATCCAATTGCATTTCAACCAGACCACGATCTCGGTCTACAAGCCGTTCCAACATCTCCCGAATCTAGCCCGCCGCCTATCACGACCAATCGCCGTCGTCGGGAGGTGCGTAAGCCCGTCCGTTTCTCCGACTATGTACAGTGTAAATATTTTTAGCTTTGTAGATATTGTATATATATGCCCCATTTTTGGTCGATTAGCGTTTTGAAAACAAAAAAAACTATCAAACCCCTCCGAAAAAACCTTTTTCGAAAAAATATTCGATCACCCAAAAATTTAAACACGCAGATCATTCGTTTGTTCCATTTGGCGTTTTCTGCGCGTGTTTTTCTATGTTCTCGTCTCTACATGCCCCAAACCCTCACCTTCGATCGACTGGCCCACACGAGGGGTGTTTTCGAGGACCCTGACGGGAACGCTGGTCGTTTCTCCGCGCGACGAGGGTCACTTCTTCGCGGGACGAGGGTCGTTTTGGCGCGGGGCGGGGTGCGGCGGCAGCAGCGAAGGTTGAGGTCCTGTCGGCCTTTTTCTGGGCTAGCCAGTTTTTTGTAGTCTGACAAGCCCGCTCCAACGGCTCGCCGAAATGCACCCTGCCCAGCAATCAATAAATAACAAATCACAAACGGCAAAGCGGACTCCGACTTCCGGCGAACGGCCACTTGGCACGAACGCCCATTCATTCTTACTCTGCAAGATTTTGCCTTACGAACCTCGTTTCAACAGTCCATTTCGATTGCGTAGGCTTTCTATGTTCAGCCTTCTAGGGGGGGAACTCTGTAGCGCCCTAAAAGATAACTGCTATTTTCCATGCACAATTTAATTTTTGACCGACTGTACAGTACTCCCTCACGTTTTAATCTTACAACCGGCTCGACACTCGACAACCTTGTAAGTTCCCGTGCTCACGTGTTCGCTCTCGCCTCGCTTCATCCCTCCGCTTCATATTGTAGCCCATCGAATACAGTCCGCTGTGTCCGATTCCAATCGCCTTCTGATATCCGCGCCTTATTTCGCGCACCGTCTCGGACTAGTATTAACTAGTCCTACACTATATGAGAGGGCAGTTAGCATGCCGATTAGAGGTCTCAGGATAAGGGGAACAGAGTATTGGGACGGCGAAGCCCAGACTGGTAACCTCTCGGATGTCTGGAAGTAGTCAGATAGCAGGAGACTGGTCAGACGAAGCTAGATTAGAGCCAGGGCCGAAGAGTTATCTGTCCAATTGTAGAACGAATGCGATCATAGAGTGATAAAAAGAAAAGGCACTATTGATGAGAAGTGGAAAAGCCAACGATATTCTCGCGATGTGAGTTCTACGCGGTAATGTAGTGGCTATTAATCTTTTACATTTTGTCTTTCCTGTCAGTAATTTTATCGCGACATCTCTTGTACAGTTTGTTTGAATGAATGATTACAAGGTAATTCTTCGTGCCCCGCGCTCCGTCGTGCTGATTTTTGGCTGTGCTGCTTCTGCCTGCGTACCGTGCCGTCCAGTCTGCTTGCGAATCGGATAGTATACTCGGAATTGCTATTGAACGTCTATTTCCATTTGCTCGACGTGTGTCACAGGTATAGCTACGACTCGAACTCAACTGTGATTAGACTGTGAGTTCTCTCTCTCTAACTTTTTGCCTTTTACTAAGAGGTTGAAGCCTTCCTAGTATTTTTCGACCACTACCTAAATTGGTGACCTCGCCCTATATATTTCTGAACACGTATTTTTCTCAGTCATGACTGACCACAACCCATGTGTTTTTACGGACAATTCCGTCGAACTCTCGCTTCCTACCTTTGACATTTCTAATCCACGTGTATGGTTTATTCAGGTAGAAGCTACTTTCCGATGTCGTAAGATCACTTCACAATCTTCCATGTTCTCCTAAGTCGTCTAGCGCTTACCTGTCTCCATTGCATCTGAAGTCATTGATATCCTTGATCCTATGCCTGTAAAAGCGCCGTATGATAAACTTAAAGCCGCTATCCTTAAACGCACCACTGCGTCTGATGAGGCTCGTCTGCAACAGTTACTTTCCGGCGTCAAGATTGGCGATCGCACCCCATCTCAGCTTCTTAGACACATGCGTTCTTTAGTTGGTTCGTCGAAACTCGACGACTCCATACTTCGCCAACTTTGGACGAGATGTCTTCCGGCAAACACCACAGTGATTTTATCCGTTCTTAGCGACCGTATCACTCTGGAAAAGCTCGCAGAAGCTGCGGACAAAACGCACGAATGTTTCTTTAAGAATACTCTTAATCACGTAGCTGAGTCCACCCCAGCTAGCTCATCGCATAGCACTACGGTTGATTCGATCAACGATAGAATCTCCCGTCTAGAACTCCGCAGGTCTGCTATTCGACGTCAACGCAGTACCAACCGAAGAGGTCCTCGTGGTCCGAGCCGCAGCACATCACGCTCATGTCAGCGGTCGTACTGCTACTTCCACCGTCGCCTCGGTAATGCAGCACGTAACTGTCGCCCGGGATGCAAATATCCGAAAGGAACTCCGATTACGCAACCGGGAAACGCCAAAGCCAGCCAGTAATGGCGACGGCTGTCGCTGGCCAAATCCTCAGTCGCCTTCTGTACGTGTTCGACTCCACGACTAAACTTCATTTTTTGGTCGATACGGGCGCAGAAATCAGCGTTATACCGCGATCTTTGGAAAAACGCCCTCTGCAACAAGCCGGACTTACGTTACAGGCGGCTAACCTGACTACGATCGCGACATACGGCCAGAAGCTGTTACACCTAAGCCTTGGTTTGCGACGCGAATTTCCTTTTATCTTTACCATCGCAGATGTCCAGAAACCCAGAATTGGCATCGACATCCTTAGCAAATTCGGCCTTGTCATCAACCTACGTTGCAGGAAGTTACGGGACGACAGCACTTCGCTTACTGTCTCTTGCCATCTCGCCCCAGTCACTTCCGTCGGACTTCGCGTACTCATGCCAGACAGTACGCCGTATGCATCATTGCTTCAGTAATTCCCGGCTTTGGTGCATTCTAATAACCGACTCTACCGAGCCTAAACATGAGGTTCGTCATCATATCGTCACCACAGGTCCACCCGTGTCAGCCAAACTGAGACGTCTTCCACCTGACAAGCTCCAAGCGGCTAAACGTGAATTCAAGCAAATGATCAACCTCAGAATCATTCGCCCATCCAACAGTTGTTGGGCTTCCCCGCTTCATCTTGTACCCAAAAGTCCGGTGATTGGCGTCCATGCGGTGATTACCGGGCACTCAACGCCGTTACCATCCCCGACAGATACCCTATTCCTCATATTCATGATTTTTCATTGGGACTGTCCAGGAGATCAGTCTTTTCCAAGAATGACCTTGTGCGAGCGTACCATCAAATTCCAATGGTAGCTGAAGACATTGCTAAAACGGCCGTTATCACATCTTTCGGTTTGTACGAGTTCATTCGTATGCCTTTTGGCCTTCGCAATGCGGCAACATCGAGTTAATAGTAGTGACGTTCGGTGTCGCATCTTGGGGAATGCGAGTATTCCCTTCAACAAAATGATTTTGTTGCGCCAGTTAAGATGGCTCGGTCATGTCCTACGCATGGAACCTGAGCGTCTACCGCGTCGCGCACTATTCGCTCGTCACGGACCTGGCTGGAGGCGATCGCGTGGTGGTCAGCCTTCCACTTGGCGGCAGCACATGAAATCGCTGACGTCGTGTCTGACCGCTGTTGGACCCGTACGTCTTCCAGGATGGGGACCCAAAGATGAGGAGTGCCAATGGCTTAGCACTCTTGAGGATATGGCCCGCAACCGGAATCAGTGGAAGAATTGTGAACAGTATTGTATTGATTCCCGTGTTTAATACTACAAACATTAAAATGACAAAAAAGAGCAAAAGCGGGGTGTGAAAAACAAACTAAAAAATGTTTTGTTCTACTTTTGTCAAAATGTTCAATTCTTCCTGCGACATATTAGTTGAAGTGTGTTGCTCACCTTCAACTAGCATGCCACGATGATTATGATGCGATGGCTTGCTTATCCACTGATCTCCATGGTTTTATGTTGGCTCCGTGTTTAGCTGATAGACTGTTGAGATTACAGCGCTTCATGGACCAAGTCCTCCGTGGTCTAGACTTTGTTTTTGTCAACATCGACGATGTCCTAATAGTCAGTGCCACGCCAGAAGAGCAACTGAATCACCTTCGACAAGTATTTGAACGCTTCGATCATCACGGGATAAGCATAAATCCTGATAAATGTCTATTTGGTCAATCTAACATCGATCTTCTTGATCACAAAATTGATAGCAAAGGCATTAGTCCCCACCCTGAGAAAACCCAGGCAATCGTGGACTATCCACTAGTTCAATCCGTTAAAAACCTGCGCCGATTCCTTGGCTTGGTTAATTAATACGGAAAATTCATTGACAATTGTGCCGCCGTTCTTCAGCCTTTGACTGATTTACTTAAAGGTAATCCAAAGAAGTTCACCATTACGCCAGAAGCCGAAACATCGTTTGTTGCCATGAAGCAGAAGTTGAGCCAGGTAAGTTCCCAGAGCTAGTTGGACGCCGACAGGAAACATACTCTCGTTCTCAAGACTGATGCCTCACAATCCTCTGTCGGTGTTGTACTACAATAACTAGTAGGGCAATGAGATTCAACAGCTGTCTTTCTTTTCTCGGAAGCTACAGCCAGCACAAACAAGGTATAGCACTTTCGGCCGCGAACTTCTTGTGATCTACTTGGCCGTTTGGACTGAGGAGAAGATTCCGAGCTCATGGGGAGAATCGGTCATTGTTCCGATTCACAAGAAGGGCTCCCGCGCCGACTGCTGCAACCAGCGCGGAATTTCCCTAATCTTTGTCGCATCCAAAATCTTCGTGTCGGTCCTACTTGGCACGCTTTCAACGACTGGAGAGGAATTTTCCCGCGAAGAACAAGCCGGATTTCGTCCAGGCCGCGGCTGCTTCGGCAAGTTCTCGAACTTCATCACATTCACCGGCGGCCAACAATCGTAGTGTTTTTGGACATCCGAACGGCATTTGATTCAGTAGATAGATCTGCGTTGTGGGACTGTTTACTGAAGAAAGGTGCGCCCGACAAGTCTGTAACTATCCTGAAAGTACTTTAGAGTCACACGTCGGGCAAAGTTAGGGTTTACGGCACGCACTCCTCTTCATTTGCTGTGACCAGCGGTGTTCGCCAAGGTTTCCCTATTTCACCTTTCCTCTTCAATTTCGCCATCGAAGATGTTCTCCAAAGAGCACTGGAAGGTGTCCAGGACTGAGGTGTTGAGCTTCTCCCTAGAGACAGACTCACGGACTTGTACTACGCCGATGACATCGTCTTGCTGGGGGACGACCCACATTCCGTCCAGAGCGCCTTGGACCGCTTGGCGATGGAGGCGTCTAAGTACGGCTTATGCTTCATTCCGAGAAAATGTAAAACGCTGCACCAGGACTGACAGGTGCCTGAACCCGCGCTCACCAATGCTGGACATGTTCTGGAGCAAGTCCCTTGCTTTACTTATCAATGGAGTTGCATCACGGCCAGTGGCGGTGTTGGAGATGAAGTCTCACAACGGATTGCAAAGGCCCGCCTTGCATTCATCAAACTGAGACATCTATGGCGTCATCGTGATGTCAGTCTCAAGCTCAAGGGCAGGGTGTACAATGCATCCGCCCGTGCAGTACTCTTGTACGGCTGTGAGACTTGGCCTATTCGCTCAGAAGATATGAAGCGGCTATCAGTCTTTGATAATCGCTGTCTACGAAGGATGGCTAGGGTGTGGTGGCAACACGACGTAAGCAACGCAGAGATGAGAGACCTCGTGCTTGGGGCGAACAGTGCCAGTCTTCAGGACGTTATTCTCTGACATCACATGCGTTGGCTTGGGCTCGTTCTGCGCATGTCAGCCCATCGCCTTCCACGTCGAGCGCTATTTTCACTCCCAGGGAGCGATTGGAAAAAGTGCCACGGTGGACAGCCGATGACGTGGAGAAGGAGTATGAAGAAGGTAACCTCAAGTTTGGCGGCAGTCGGACCAGTCCGCCTTCCAGGTTGGGGACCACAAGATGCTGAATCGCAGTGGTTGGAAACATTAGACGTCATGGCCCACAACAGACATCAGTGGCGTCAATGTTGTTCTGCAATTTCACCATCCCTTTGATGCACACAAAAACTCACATAACAAAACAAAAATACAAAATGGCGTGTGTAAAACCAAAAAATAGTTTCCCATATATTTTAATCGCATTAGTGTTCCCACCTTCTTCACTTTTTTCTTCTGCCATGGTTCTGATAGCACAATGTCTGTTAACAGACTGTGATGTAGTGACCATGACATTTTACTCCATCAAACATCACATTCAGACTTGTACACATTTTGTTTTACTTTGCACCCATCCAAAACCTGTATATACTGGACTGCAATTTTGAACCAGGTCCGTCATCTTGCCCGCGCGTTGCCGGCTGTTGCGCTCCTACGTGGTGTTACTCATTGCTTCACCATTTTCTCCCATTGTCCTCAAGCTATATTTACATAGCTATTGTACTGTGCCGTTTTCTCAAGACAATCTTTATATCCCGCCGTCTTCTGTCTTATTGTGCTACGGATTTCTTGTGTAGCATTCGTCAAGGCGCTACAGTGAATAAATAATAATATAATAATACCTGGCCGTCAAACACTTTGGTTACGTCCTTGAAGGACGACATTTTGTCATGCTGACGACCACAAGCTTTTGGTCTACGCTTTTCGTGTCGCTTCCGACCGCTATTCTCCAAGAGAGACACGATATCTGGATTACCTCTCACAATTCTGTGTCTATATTCGCTACTTCGGCGGTCCAAATAATGTTGTCGCTGATGCACTTTCATGTGTTCATATACACCAACTTTCGTCCACTCCAATAGATCTTGAGGAAATGTCTGTTGCCCAGAACAACGATGCTGAACTCGCTCAGCTTCGATCGAATACTACGAGCAAATTCTTGCAATTACCTCTGTTAAACAGACGATAAGAGTAACTGCGATGTCTCTACCGGTAAGCCGAGACCGTTTGTTCCCCAGGCTTTCCGGCGAACCGTCTCTGGCCATTTTCATGGACTATCGCATTCCAGCATTCAATCCACCGTGAAGTTGATTACTTACAGCTGCGGATAGCGGCCTCCGGTCGGTTATTTTTGGCTGTGCTGACAAGATCACTTTGTGTTGGCTTTCTACGTTCATTGGAAGTATTTCGTGGAAATTTAAATACAATTCAGGTTCATTCCCGATTCTGAAATTGCCGACCAGAAATACTTGTGTTTTCATCGCTTGGTTTCGGCGATCTTGCTATCGCCACTTTCTCCGTCAATTGGCCGCCATCTTGTTTTCGGATTATTCACAATGCCGAAGCAGTGATCCTGTGGTACTTGCTCCAAACTAGTCGGATACCGTGCAAATGCCCTCACGTGTGTTTTTGCCAAGTTAAATACCACATTTCATGTGTTGGATTATCAGTTGAGCATTTTCATCGTCTTCGCGAGATCCAACACGATTTCGTCCAAACTATATGTGAAAATTGCCGAAATAAGATACAGCCAGAAAGAGTAAAGCCGACGTGTAGGCCTCAGCGTTTCGTTGCGAACAGCTCCGTGTGTTTGGCCCAACAACCTAGCGCGAAGAGCCTTCAGGTTTCGGCTCAGTCGTCCTCCTCTACCCGTGCAAACTCACCGACACGAAGTCCAACCGTTGTGAGAAGCCCAGTTGCACCAGTGTCCAACGGACACTGATGTCCCAGCAGGTGAAAGCCAGAGTGCTGAAGACCAGTGGAAAGAACAGAGGACGAAATTACGAAGGAACGTTGAGCGTTTACGTTCTGTAAGTCAACAGTTAGCCAAACCACTTGAGGCTGGTAGTATACTTCGCTCTGCAAGGTCAACCTCGTCCGACCAGAGGCGTTATAATCTCGTGATCTTTCACGCACCGGAGTCCAGTGATCACCCCATCACCCCAAGTGCGCTACGATCACGATGTCGAGTTTTTACAGGGTCTAATTGATAGACTCCTCGACGCTGGTGAGGACTAGGTAAAAGCGAAGCAAATTACCCGTCTTGGAAAGCAAGGTGATCAACAAAATCGGCCTATGAGAATCACTTTTGTGGACGAAGCCAGTCCAAGACTGATCATGTCTCGCCTAAGTAGGCTGAAAGGTTTGAAGATCCATGTTCGTCCCGACCTGGACCCAGTAGACAAAGAGCGGCTCAAGTCTGTCATCATTGAGCTGAAAAGACGCACTGGTGAGGGGGAAACAAATCTTCGTATCGTAAATTTTCAGGTGGTTTCCAACAATCCGAGAATCAGGATAAACAGGCTGCTCACACTTCAAGCACGCCCGGTGGCTCCTGATGCGGCCTGCGAGTGGCCTTCACAAACGTTTGCAGTATTATGAATAGGCGCGATGAGCTTTGTTGTTTCGTTGCGTCTGAGCGGCCAGACGTAGTGTGACTCGCAGAGACATGGCTGCATGCAGAGTTATACATCCAAGAACTTGAACTCAACGGTTGCTCGTGTTTCCGAT